TCTCTCTCTCTCTCTCTCTCTCTCTCTCTCTCTCTCTCTCTCTCTCTCTCTCTCTCTCTCTCTCTCTCTCTCTCTCTGCATGAGCTCTGATGAGATAGTCAGCAAGAGCTGACCTAAATTCTTTCCGTCGTGATGTGTGCGTGTGTGAGAGAGAGAGAGAAAGTAGCGAATAGTAGTGAACGGGAGAGGTGCGATCCCTCTYGTTGTGCATCGAACCCCCTCTTGTTGTGTATCGAACCCCTTTYGTTGTGCATGATGRCATCTCTCTTGTTGTGCATCCAGACATCTCTTGTTCATCACTGAAACATCTCTGTGATTAGRATGAGGAACGAAAACGAGARKCGTGTTTTGTTCCTCATCCTAATCACGACGGAAAGAATTTAGGTTAGCTCTTGCTCGGGAAACATCCGCCCTTACCCTATGGCGGGTACATCCGCCACACAGCCGACGACGGAAAGAATTTAGGTCAGCACTTGCTCGAGAAACATCCGCCCTTACCCTATGGCGGGTACATCCGCCACACCGCCGAGGATCGAAGTACTTGTTTGTGTGGTGGATATATCCGTTGTACACCAAGGGGGCGGAGACCTCTAAGAGGAGATGTCGGAGTACAAACATGCTCTGTGGCGGATATATCCGCCACACAGACGTGGACACCAAGCGCTGGTGTTGTTTCTCTGGTTTGAGGTTAGCTCTTGCTCGGGAAACATCCGCCCTTACCCTATGGCGGGTACATCCGCCACACAGCCCACGACGGAAAGAATTCAGGTCAGCTGTTGCTCGGGAAACATCCGCCCTTACCCTATGTCGGGTACATCCGCCACACAGCCGAGGATCGACGTGCTTGTTTGTGTGGCGGATATATCCGCTGTACACCAAGAGGGCAGAGACCTCTAAGAGGAGATGTCGGAGTACAAACATGCTCTGTGGCGGATATATACGCCACACAAACGTGGACACCAAGCGCGGGTGTTGTTTCTCTGGTTTGTACTCCGACATCCGCCCGCTCGGTGTGCAGCGGATATATATCCGCCACACAAACATGCACGTCGATCCTGGCTATTGATGTTTCGAGACACAGCCGAGGATCGACGTACTTGTTGGTGTGGCGGATATATCCGTTGTACACTAAGGGGGCTGAGACCTCTAAGAGGAGATGTTAGAGTGCAAAGTGGGTGTTGTTTCTCTGGTTTGAGGTTAGCTCTTGCTTGGGAAACATCCGCCCTTACCCTATGGCGGGTACATCCGCCACACAGCCCACGACGAAAAGAATTCAGGTAAGCTCTTGCTCGGGAAACATCCGCCCTTACCATATGGTGGGTACATCCGCCACACAGCCGAGGATCGGCGTGCTTGTTTGTGTGACAGATATATTTGGTGTACACCAAGGGGGCAAAGACCTCTAAGAGGAAATGTCGGAGTACAAACATGCTCTGTGGCCGATATATCCGCCACACAAACGTGGACACCAAGCGCGGGTGTTGTTTCTCTGGTTTGTACTCCGACATCTCCTCTAAGAGGTATCCGCCCGCTCGGTGTGCAGCGGATATACCCGCCACACAAACACACACGTCGATCCTGGCCAATGATGTTTCGAGACGGAGTGTTTTCTCCACTACGTTCCCGCTCAGTTGCTGTGGCGGATATACGCGCCACACGTGCGAGGACATCGAAGGCGCAAAACGTTGGTTTCCATCCTGAGGATGACGGTCTCAATAGCGGATACATCCGCCGCTAAGGATGAAGACCGTGCCTCCAACGGGCGCACAGGAGTTCGAGGTCATCGTCCATGCGAGGGATACATCCGCTCCACGCCGAACACATCCGCCCCGTAGTCAACTGTTGCCCGGGAAACATCCGCCCTCACCCAACAGCAGAGGGCGAAGAGTGTCGGTTGCCAGCAGGAAACAACTTTCTCTGTGTCGCAGAAACAACACACAATTTTGTGATGTTATGTGGTATTAATTGCGCATGGTGTGGTTCCTGTGTTATATACGCGGGTTCATACTGTTCGAGGTTTCCGTCCGCTTGCTGTATGGCGGATATATCCGRCGCACAGACAAGGACGTCGAATGTCATGTTTGCCATCAAGTTTAACACCCGCGCTTGATGTCCACGTCTGTGTGGCGGATATTTCCGCCACCGAGTAACTGAGCATGTTGGTTCTCTGTTTTGTACTCCGACATTTCCTCCAGGAGGTCTCCGCCCGCTTGGTGTACATCGGATATATCCGCCACACAAAAACGTACGTTTCCGCTCAATAGCTGCGACAGATATATCCGCCACACATGCGTGGACACTTAATCCGCGTAATTGACAACGACGTCGAAGAACTGAGCGCTCGTCAGGGCAGGGTCTTGATCCGCAGCGGCGAATGTATGCGCTAGAGAAGAAAGCATCACGACTTACCCAACCAAAATAGCACATGACATTTCGAGCTCTCCGTCCTCATTTGTGGTACGGATGTGTCCGCCGTATGGATCATGATCCTGAGCGGCGGATGTATCCGCTATCGAGGTCGTCGCTGAGGTTGTATCCACTATCGAGGCCGTCGAATGTGGTGCGGATGTATCCGCTATTTGAGAATGATGACCGTGCCCTTCACACGCGCACACCGCCGCTGGGGACCATGACCTTGCCCTGACCTGGTCCTCAGCGGCGGATGTATCCTCTATTGGAGGAAGCAGCACGACTTAGGCATTGCTCAAAATGAATGTGCTAGTATTGTGTGCTCGACAAGGGCAGAGTCCTCATCCTCAGTGGCGGATGTATCCGCTGCACGTCGAATACATCCTCAGCGACAGATGTATTCGTTGTAGAAGCAGCACGACTTCGAGGTCGTAGTCCATGCAGCGGATACATCCGGTGTTCAGCTTTAGCATCGTAAAAGTCATGTGGCTACCTTCACACACGCACGACAAGGGCAGAGTCCTTATTCTCGGCGGTGGATGAACACCGGATGTATCCGTTGCATGGACTACGACCTCATCCTTAGCGGCGGATGAACACCGGATGTTTCCGCTGCATGGACTACGACCTCGAAGTCGTGTTGCTTCTACAGCGGATACATCCACCGCTGAGGATGTGTTCGACGGGCCACGGCGGATGTATGCGTTATCCTTATCGGCATATGTATCCGCTGTAGAAGCAGCACGACTTCGAGGTCGTTGTCCATGCAGCGGATACATCCGGTGTTCATCCGCCGCTGAGGATGAGGTCATAGTCCATGCAGCGGATACATCCGGTGTTCATCCGCCGCTGAGGATGAGGACTCTGCCCTTGTCGTGCGCGTGTGAAGGTAGCCACATGACTTTTACGATGTTAAAGCTGAACACCGGATGTATCCTTTGCATGGACTATCTTCGACGGCGGATATATCCGCCTCGATGATGATGACCGTGCCTTTCACACGCTGAGGACGAATCAACGTCGTTTTGCTTACTATCATGCTGAGTAGCGTGTTCTTCTTCGTGCTTGGCAAATGCAGATAAAATGGCATCCGCTGGTGCTGGCAAACGAGCTGACTCTGCAGGAACGGCTGTCGAGGGAGAGTTGCCCAAGTCCAGTGGAAATCGTGGTGGGCCTGCCTCGACTTCTATCGGTGGTCCAGTAGCAGAGCGCGGTCGGCGCGGTCCTTCTGGTGGCAGGCACAGCGGCGGGACGAAGAGAAATCCTTTGTACTACAAGTATGACAACTGCCACTGGTTTCTTGATTGGGTTTCTGTTGACGAGTCCACCTTGCGGTGTAGTCGTCTTCGTGAAAGACCGTAATAATTTTCGAGTCGTCGGGGCTGTGAGCGGATGGGAAGATTGTTCAGAGGGAATTCGTACATTCACCCTTCAGACAGCAAATGGGAAGAACGGTCATCCTGATGATGACGCCCAGGGTGTCAGATTGGCTTGGAAAAAGTTTCGAGGTTTCGGCAAGCAAGCCACCATGCTTCTGTTTTACACAGCAATAACATCAGATTTAGAACCGTCTGTTCTCTTGCGGAGCTTCTTCGATGACAAGGAGAGATTGGTGCCGCCAACCAGGTGTTTAGATGTGCCGCAGGAGCATCGTATTTCGATGCCGATAGCGTATGTTGGCAATGACGAGGACCGCACTCGAACTTCAGAATTGTCGACTGATGTAACTACGGAGGGTGCGACTGGAGGGCTTGACCCTAACTACGTTCCTGAGCAGCAAGACCCCTCAGATGCTTATGAAGAATCCGAGCCAGAAGGTGAAGCTGTCGAACGCAGACATGCGGAGGGGGCGGTCGCCGAGGTGGCTCGGGCTCCAGTAAGTGCTATAAATGAGCCGTCGCCCCAGGAGGGGGCGGTCGCCGACATGGCTGAGGCTCCAGTAAGTGCTACGGATGAGCTGTCGACTAGGGCGAAGACGACTGGAGTTAGTACTACTGTTGGACATCCTGTGGTTGCGGAGCAGCAAAGGGGTGGGGAGACGGGTAGACGACCTGTTGCGGTGGGAGAAAAGAGAAGTGGAAAAGAATCTGGCAGCAAGGGGGCTGGAGACGAAGACACCCCTCGTTTATCTTCACAAAAGAAAAAGAGAACAGGTACCCCTCGCCAGACATCTGACAAGAAGAGGAAATCGGCGGGAAAGAACCCGGAAACACCGAAGGCGAGACGGGGAGGTGGATTGGGGGAAGGGTCATCGAAAGGCAAGCGGGCACGAGCAGATGAAAATGACAGTGAGGACGACAAGGAAAAGGTTGTCCATCTGGACGCCGGGTACTTTCTGGAATGGAAAGAGGGTATAAAGAAAGATGTCACTCTTTCTATCAACCCCGAGAGGGTATTGGAGTTGCCGGCGTGGGAAAGGTCGTACAATCATCGTTCGATCGACCCAACGCACATGGCATATATATTGAGGTCTATGATGGATGCCTTCAAGAAGAAAGGAAAGACGTACGAGAAGCCAATTTTGAAATTGGCGCCAATCGCAGGGCTTCCTAGCCCCGGACGGAAGGCTGTTCGTGTGACCCCGGACAAATTCAATGTGGAGAACCCGAACGAACACTGGTACTACGCTGTCAGCGGGCAACACAATGTCAAGGCTGCGTTGGAGTTGAGAAACCACAAGATTTGGGAGAATCATACCTTCTACGACTGACCCTTCAAGCCTTTGTACTTCGCCGACGAGGACTTTGACGGTTATACGCAGATAAGCGTGAACGAGAATAGGAAGGACAAGTGAGCCCCTCCTCGGGCTCAGCGGCTGCCAATGATAGACATTCGTCAGGAGTGGAATAACTTGAAGTGTCATCGTGCTGTCACCGGCAATATAAAGTTCAAGACGGATTTGGTTTGTAAAAATGAAGAGTTTCAGAAAGCCGCCTTGAGGAAAAGGCCTTACTTCAACCTTTGGGGGTTGGCTGATGAGAAATCGAAGAAAAAGGAATGGACGGAGAGACTGAGGTACTACTTACCTCTGGTGATGACGGACGATGAAACGTGGATGCTTGGCATGAAATTCTACGACGAGTGGGAGAAGGGCCATCTGCTCGCCCCTGATGGCGCTGTGTGGACGAAGAGGCCTCCAACAATGGACCCGAAAGTCACCCGTGAGGGTCAGTCATTTGCGGAGGACAACAGTGGTCATAAGAGAGTTGTGTATAATGTGTGTGTGACTGATCCGGAGATGTGGAAAGGCAAGAAGAAAAGGAAACAGGAGGACCGCGACTTTTTCGTCCAGATGAATGAACCCGACGTGCATTGTTGGAAAGACTTGGGGGATTTTACAGACGCGGAGAAACGTCGGATCCTGCGAGGGTTGTTGGACCTGGATATTGTCTGGGTGCAGCAAGGAAGAAAGAAGCTGATTGAGCAGGGAAAGGTTGGGATGAAAGATGCTTGTGAAATGGTCAAGCAAGATCGGATGTTGCTCCGGCTGTGGCATATTGTGCAATTCTAGCACGAGGGCCGTGACAACGATGATTGGAATGCCTCCTTTTTCCGGACGGGGGAGCAATTGATGGCAGAGTACGCCTCCAAGGGACTTGACGAGAAATTGTGGGCGGGCTGCAGGAAATGGGTCACTGATCACTCGTACCTCAAGGAATGCCCGCAGTATCTCGGCTGTCCGAGTGATAAGGACGTGGCGGCAACGAGGAAGTTGGTTAATCACGAGAAGTTTCCTACTGAATGGAAGCGGGTTGTGCTGTCTGTGCTCAAAGGTGAACGTGGTAAGACAGAAGAGGGGCCGCAAGCACTGGGAGAATGCACCACCATCAAATGGAAGGAAACCAAGCAAGTGACAACCCTCGCATCATTTGCTTACGACGCCCTCACGACTTTTCTAAGAAAAGATGAGATGAGGAAAGTTGTGACGCAGCTGCGATGCCACACTTGCATCATTGACTTTTGCGATCCCGTCGACCGAGCACGTTGGAATGACGAGGCTTTCCGATTGGCGGCATTCCTTGAAGCTGTGTGTCCTGATTTCTGGACTTTAATTGTTTTTGTTCGCAGGTAGTGGGACCTTTCCTTCATGGGTCTTCTCCACATTCTTCCTGTCACGAATGGTTGTGCAGGAAAATGGGTTCGGAGGAGTCAAGTTAAGAAACACTACCAAATCCGGAACAGTGTGTGGGCCGACGAGGACAGGATGTATTTTTTTTACCACGGGGATGATCTGAAGCTTAACACCCCACCGACATATGAGGGACGATTGTCGGACGATGACGCTGCAGCTCTTGGGAAAAGGCAAAAGGTGACACCCTCGGACATTTCCGAAACACAGTTCACGGCCACGACGTATGCATCGGCAGGTGTGCACCACCTGAAGGGGTTCATCTATAAGGAAATGGAGCGCAACCCGGGTATGTTATCGGGTCACATAGAGTTCTTCTGCCCAGTCGAGAATGCAGTTATGTTCATCGGCAAAGCACACGCCCAGGTTGTGTGGCATCTCCTCAAGAGCGGGCGCCATGTTGTGGCCATCGAGGGAGACACAAAGCTCCTCAACTTCTTGATGATATTTGTTGCGCACGAGGTGCACATGGGTGTGAACAACTGTGAATTCTACCAGGTGCAGAAAGAGGTCGACCATGATCCACACAGGAACATGTGGTTCAAGCTGTCAGCTGAGAAAAGGGCGAATGTATACAAGTTTCTGTTCCTCGACACAAGACCAAAACTAAGATTCGAGGACGACTACAAGTGTCGCCGAGATGTCGTGATTGGTGCATTGGATGGCTTTCATGGTGCTTCTAGGGAGGCTGCGGCCAACTTCGTGGAGAAAATTGAGGAATGTTATTTCGACAATGGCAAGGTGGAACTCACATTAAATTATTACAAGGCTCAGTTCACCGAAGAGGACAATTTCAACGCAAACGACGAGGAAGAAGTCAGCGAGGGTGAGGAGCCTTTGGATTTAGAGACGGTATATCAGAAATATACCGCAGGTATGGCGTCCTCTTCAACGCCTTCCAGTTCCAAGCATGCTGCGAGTTCACTCTTGTCGCCATTCCTGTCGCAACGCCAACCTCGGGTTCTTCAAAAGGATTTCTTTCCTCCATGAGAAGCAAACCTCTGAGCCCCACTGTCAAGCCTGGACGTCCTCTTCCGCTGACGCACACATTGAGGTTGCAGAAAGGTCAACTTTATTTCTTCGAGACGACGCACAGGAGTACCGACGAGTCCAATTGGGGTCACCATGTAATTTGGCATCCAGACATTTTCCAACCGGCAGTTCTTGATGGCGAATGGGTTATGGCGTTCAATGATAAGGGCGAATGGAAATCAGAACCCCGTTTGTCCAAAAAGGTATTTGAAGAGGCCGCCCTCCAAGCGGTTATCGACCATGTCGCAGAGGTAAATTGTCGTCAACCAGACGACCTTGTCGTCAGAATGTTCGGAGAGCAGACATTCGAGATTCTTCAGGAGCACAACATGTTGGAGCTCTGTCGTGACTTTTATTACCTCGAAACAAGTCCAAGTTATGAAAGCAAAATTGACTGGCATATTTCGCCGCCTGCCCCAACACGAGGAGAGGGAGCTGGACGGGGCGGCCGTGGAGGAGATGACAAAGGAGGGGATGGAGGAGGTGATGATAGACTCCGCGGCGGCGGTTACGGGTGACAACTGAGGGGGCGGCGCACGGCGCGGAAATGTTACGAGCCCGGGAGGGGTCACGATCGCAGGCGGAAAGGGTGCTATGGCTTTGGTAGAAGGTGCGAGCTCACAAACTGGGCAGGGATAACCGCAAGTTGAATCTCCACTGCCGACCCATGCGCTGCAAGCTGCTCAACTCGTTGGGCCGGCAGCGGATGTATCCGCGGCATAGTCATGACCGATGGCGGAGTAGATGCCATGGCTTCAGTAGAAGGTGCGAGCTCACAAACTGGGCAGGGATCACCGCAGGTTGAATCTCCACCGCCGACAATGTATCCGCTTGGTGCTGAAGTCGTTAGGCAAGGAAATCGATCATTTCCCGGCAGCGGATGTATCCGCGGTACAGTTTCTGCCAGATCGAATTTCATGGCAGATGCGGAGTCGGTCGACGTGGCTTCCACCAACGATCCAAGACGCGACACTCGAAAGTGCGAAGTTGTTACGGATGCCACTTTCCTTCGCGGAGAGAATGTGGTGGAGAAAACTGTAGGCGGGTCATACTCCCCCAGAAGGACAGATTCTCTTGCGAGTCCTTGTGCAACTGGGTCTGAGGTGGATAAGGGGCGGGTTGGCCTTTTTTCTGCTGGCCCCGGATGTATCCGCCATCCAAGCGGGCGCGTTAGTGTGGAGCAGAATGAGGACCTAGCTGTCGGAAGCATTTCGGCCGGTGGCGGATATATCCGCTCCTCGACGCATCAACTCAGCAGCACCGACGACCCCCTTGCCCTGGGTATGGAAGACCAGGAGACTGCACCCTTTGACACACATTACAGTGGTTCCGAGGGCGGGCATGTCCCTCTGACAAATGCATCGGAGGAACATGCACGCGGGTCATACAAGGGGCGCGGGCTGCGTGATGCCGGTTCTTTAGCTGGCGCCGGATATATCCGCCGTCCAGGGCTTCGTGTCAGTGCAGAGCAGAAGGAGGAGTTAGTTGTCAGACCCATTTCCACCGGCAGCGGATCTATCCGCTCCTCAGCAGAGCAGCCACGTAGCACGGATAACACCCTTGCCGTGGGTGTGGAAGACCAGGTGACTCCACCACCGGATACACGTTGTGGCGGTCCCAGAGCGGGTATGTCTCGCAGTTATGTTCAGGGTTTCCTGACGTACGGCCCTCCAAAATCCATATGGCCACAGTCGTGTCGGGCGACTGCAATGAGGACGAGGACGTCACCATGCTCGAAGTGGAAGAGTTGTTTGTCCGTCATCCGATCGAAGATGATCTTGTCAAGACACTCTTCCACGATTCCCCAGTTGTCATCTCTCCCTCTTCACAATTATTAACTCCTCAAGATGAAGTTCTTGTCATCCGTGGGAGTGGTGGGACAGCTGGTCGTCCTGTAGAGTTGTGCCCCGATGCTCCGGAAAAAGTTGTTTGCCTCATCGAAGCGGACATTAAGGACTTGTCCCGACTTCCATCCCAGTTAGATCGCATTATGGCATCGGCACAGACTGAAGAGTTCGTGCTGGGTCTAAGCGCGACATGTCTGAGAAAAGACTTGCCACAACCGAAAGTTTTAGACGAGAAGAATACTAAGGAACATCTCCAGCACGAAGCCATCGCTGGTAAGCAGTGACATGTGTTGCTCACATTTGGGTCTACGTAGTGTATGAGCACTTGGAGTTAATTCACTGACATGAGTGTTTGGGTCCCACTACTGTATGAGCATCTGGAGTTTACTTTTCGATGTAGCGAGCGGCGATATGTTTGGATATGTGGGTAATTGCTGGTTGCCCGTTGGTTGTGCAATGCGGTGATATGTTATATTCATAATCTCTTTTTATTTACTTGTTGTACAGGTCGGCCATCTCCTTCATGTGTCGTGCGGAGAAACTCGGAAGAGTCTCTCACAAAAACAAATATGCCGCGATTGTCGAGAAGGGATTTTCAGATTGTAGGAGCGGCGGGTATGAGTTCTGACACATTTGCGAAGTTGCACATCAAAGTTTGCAAGAAATGCGYCATTTCTCCGCTTCCTGGACCCGCGCCATACTTTTCTAGGAGTACAAGTAGAGGGGTTCAAATTTATAATAATTTTAAAGCGCAAAGCAAAGAACCGAACAGCTCGGACAGTTAGGGTGTCATCCTTCTCATGCTCATGAGTGTTGCTTGGTTGGACTGTGCAACAAACGTATGCATGTCAGGCGTTGGAGGAAATCAGGAAGAGTCGTCCAAGTTGATGGACAAACTTGTTCGGTGTTGCCTGCCGTCGGTGATGGTTATTGCTCGGCTCCCGACCGACAATTTGGTGGTTCGCTCTCTCCAGTCTGCCTGTTACCGCAAGACACAGTTATCATTGAATCGACCACATCTCTCACTCTTTCTCTCGCACAGGCTGTTGAGGGAAACGCGCTCAGGCTTATGCAACATGTATTCGGTATATATATATGGGATACATCCGCTACACAAGCCCGAGCATATTGCCCTAATCTTTTATCCACCAGAGTAGGGAAACGTGGTCTGATACTTATTCCGCTCCCCATTCCTTTCATGACAAGACATAAAACGTGGGGTCTCTCTCTCTCTCTCTCTCTCTCTCTCTCTCTCTCTCTCTCTCTCTCTCTCTCTCTCTCTCTCTCTCTCT